AACAGGAGTTGGAAGACGTGCCAGCAGCACTTTATAGGTCTGCTGTATGGGACCACTTTGCATTTAGAGTGACCTACATTACGGCGGAAAGAAAGCTGGGGATAAAAGTGCAACAGTGTGCAAGCATTGTGCAACACGTTTTGTTTATGCTAACAGCAACACGATCAACATGTCATGCTAACACTCAACATATACCGAACCGAAAACCGTGACCACGAAACCGTGAACCGAACCAAACCATGGATTTTGTGAACCATTCCACCCCTAATAGATATAAATATATATATATATACTCTCGATACCATTTGAGTACCACAAGGATAAAAACAAAGACCCCAAAAATAACAGAATTGTTTTTATTAATAAATAAAATACAAAAAATAAAATACAGTAAACAATAAGAACAATATTTTGAGGTTGTATGCTGTGCAAACAGCACTCTTGCCTCTGTTATTTTCCACCAAAACTGGTTGTTTTGAAATGCTTAGAGCTATGCACAGCTGTGGTCTCAAAAATCACGTCCGTAAGCGTCCGGTAAAGTTTGAGCCCCGAACAACGTCATCTCCTGCTTCTTATACCTTCTGTGTTGCATCATGTGGATGCTTAGCTGTCCGTATCAGAAACTGACACGCCATCCATGTCTTGAACTCCATGCAGGTTGCCTCTCTTTCTCAGGGTTACAGATACAGCAGCTCTCCAATCAGACCGGCTCCAAGATGTGCCCATATCCTGTGTATTCTTAAAGACACGAAGGCTGTCCTGATTAGATGACCTCCGTACACCCCGTGACATCCACAATGTGAAGGAAGGCCTTCTGCTCTGTCTAATCTGACTAACAAAATAACAATGCACATGATGTATAAATAATAAAACCTAACAGAACTTTATTGATCTTCCATTGGAGAAATTTACCTCTGCATTTAACCCATCCCCTTTGGGAGCAGTGGGCTGCCATCGTGGGACACCCAGGGAGCAGTGTGGGGTTAAGGGTCTTTGCTCAGAGACCCAGAGTGGCAGTCTGTGGGAGTGGGACTCAAACTCAGAACCTCAGGATTCCAACATCTATGCCCTGACCCCTAGGCCGCCACTCCCCTTCAGCAAATTTGAACATTTTAGTTTCCGGGGGGAAAAACAGGCCGTACAATTTTACCTTTTTTAGTAAAGGGCGTACAATGTATGGCTGTATATATGGCTAGCTAAAAGCCCTTTCCAGAAGACAGAGCAGCATTGACTGTTCAGTTATAACATGTGATGTCAGTGCTGCAGTGCATGCTGGGGGATGTATTTCTATTCTGGTTATATGGAGTTTGATCATCACATGGATGTTTAAGGTGAAGTGTCCTTTTTTTAACCTACGAATAGAAAGTCTTTCTCCTGTGTTTGTTTTTCCAGACCGCCTCCAGGATTATGATGGAAAAGAAGAGGTTTTCTCTGAGCAGTGGTCCTCTGAACAGGAAAGGAGATCCAGGTTGGATCAAGCGGAACCAGAACCTCTGCAGATAGGAGAACAGCAAAAGCCAGAACATCACGGGACAAGAGAGGAAACCATGGAGCTCCTCATTAGTGAGCACGAAGAGCAGGTTGTTTTGGAACAGAAGACTTTAAATACTGGAAAGAAACCTTTAACATGTTTGACATGTGGAAAAGTGTTTCTAAAAAAAGGCAATTTAATGGTTCACATTAGAACTCACACAGGTGAGAAGCCTTTCGAATGTCTGTCCTGTGGAAAAAAATTCACTGTGAAATCTAATCTTGAAGCCCACATGAGAATTCACACAGGTAGGAAGCCTTTCCAATGTCTGTCCTGTGGAAAAGAATTCACTCAGAAATCTAATCTTGAAGCCCACATGAGAATTCACACAGGCGAGAAGCCTTTCGAATGTCTGTCCTGTGGAAAAGAATTCACTCAGAAATCTAATCTTGAAACCCACATGAGACTTCACACAGGCGAGAAGCCTTTCCAATGTCTGTCCTGTGGAAAAGAATTCACTCAGAAATCTAGTCTTGAAACCCACATGAGAATTCACACAGGCGAGAAGCCTTTCGAATGTCTGTCCTGTGGAAAAGAATTCACTGTGAAATCTAATCTTGAAACCCACATGAGAATTCACACAGGCGAGAAGCCTTTCGAATGTCTGTCCTGTGGAAAAGAATTCACTGTGAAATCTAGCCTTGAAACCCACATGAGAATTCACACAGGCGAGAAGCCTTTCGAATGTCTGTCCTGTGGAAAAGAATTCACTGTGAAATCTAGCCTTG